AGTTCTTTGCGGGTTATATATATATATATATATATATATATTCATATCTCTCTGTGTGTGTGTGTGTGTGTCTTCGTTCCGCGTTCCCGGTCCCGTCACCCTCCACCCCTGAGGGTGTCAGCCTGACACCGGTGCCCTGACGCGCCCCTTCCCTCCACGTCCTGTCCAAAACCCCATGCGGAGGGAGAAGCCGTGTCGCTCCACGCGGGAGGGGGATGCCAACCTGAGTGCACACGAGAAACCTGTAAAGCCCCACGCAAAAAGGTGCTGCGTCGCGCCACAGCGGTTACAAGCAAGGGGGTGCATGGGGGTCTATATATATATATATATATATATATATATATATATATACCCTAAGGGTCCATGTACCCATATAGAGATGCATGATCCCCAAAGTATCTATATAGGGACTACATTAAGGCCAATGTATATACTATATGAGTACATGGACCCTTAGGGTATATATATGGGTTTATAGGCAGGGTCCCTTCAAGGGCACCTTAATTCAGTGGTTTGGAGGGTTCCAATGGGGAAGCCCTACATTCCCAAACCCTAAACCCCTAAAACCTAAACCCCCCATGCGGGAACCCTATAAAGACTTAAAGGAGCCTTAAAGATCCTTGAAAGGAACCCTAAAGTTTCCTTTAAAGGAACCCTAAAACAGCAAAGCAGGTCATGATCCTCGTGGACAACCCGCCTCAGCAGACGGAGGCATGGCCGAGGTTGAGTACTTGTCTTATAGGGCCAGAGACCCCATTATTATTCCAGGGGTTTAGGGTTCAGGGTGCGTAACAGTATGTGCTTGGTGGGTGCGCCTTTTACTTTAGGAATAGGGGCGCACCCACTTATCGCGCGCTTGCGTCAGCATGTAGTCCCGCCCCAACCGCCCCAACTATTTTCATGTATAGGGTTTAGGGTCCACTCCCCAAACCCCGCTTGTGTTTGCTCTCTGCTTCTTTTCACAGCTCGACACAGAAACGATTACAGTATAATTCTCAAGAAACCACAGCTGAGATGGAATGGTGTCGGGTTTGTCGGCCCCGCGGCCTGGAGTTTTCCAACAAACGGGCTGCTCGAAGTGTGTGTTCACAAGCAGGGCAGAGCGGCAGGGCAGGGGGGCGCTGGGCGGGGCGGGGCGGGGCAGGGCAACAGCGGGCCCTCACCGTTCTGACCCGACGCTCGGTCGAAGCTTCGAGCGCCCATGCAAATGGTCAGCGGCGCTCTGGGCAGTTTAGGGTTTAAGGAAAACACGACACAATTGGTCTAGACTGAAATCGGCTCCAAATCAGATCTTAAACCCGAAACCCGAAAAACAGACAGAAATCCACTCACCTCCCTGCCGGGAGCCACTCCTGGCATTGGTGTCGGCTTTATACGCCCAAAGCCCGTGAAACCCTACATTAGGGGTTTTAGGGTTGCGGATGTGTATACGGGGTGGATGCGCTTCTTTGAACACGTGGGCGCACCCACTTATCGCGCGCTTGTGTCAGCATGTTGTCCCGACGCAACCACCCCAACTATTCTCAATCCCAAACCCCCTTCAAGGCAGGCTTTCTTCTCTTTGCTTCCGTTTGTAGTTCTGCATAACATGAGCGCTCACAGCAAACCACAGCTGAGATGGATTGGCGTCGGATTGTGGGTCCTGTCGGCCTGTGCCGGCTGCTCCACGATAACTAGGGGTTTCCAACAAACAACTTGCTTCTCGCACACTGCGAAGGTCGCAGGGAGAAGTGTGGGAAAAAGGCTTCTGGGAGCCCAGGAAGCCCCGAATCTGCCAGCACGGCAAACCTTATAAACCCTAAAGCCTAAACACGATGGCCCTTCATAGCTGTCGACGTCTAAGAGCGGCAGATCGTCGACTAACAAGCTGCCATCGGTTTTGGAAACCCTTAATGTGCAGAAAGCTGGACGAAACTTTATGGCCGTGTTCCCCAAAACTGACAACTTCGCCCGTATTTGTTAGGCACAAGGCTGGCATCAACGTTTGCCGGTCCTGGATGAGATTCCTTGAAGGGGTTCTTGAACAATGTCGTTCCCATGATGGACAGAGTAGGGTGTGGTGACATGTGTTTGCAGCTTTCCCTGCATAACGTTAAAAGTGCTGGGGGCTCCTGCTGTGGCGTTACGGTTTTGTATTTCACCGGCGCTGCGGCTTCCTGCCACGGTAAGAGGGGGAATCGAGGCAGGCCCTGACCGGTTTGGGCTTGGCTGATTAAAGTAGTGCTAAGTACGGGTTGAAATGAAGGGTTACTGTAAGGTTTTCTATAAGGGTTTGAGCAGGGTTTAGTATACTGGCCTGTCGACCCCTGTATGGCCTGAGGTGATCGTACATGCAAAACCCTTGAAAATCCAAACAACCCGAAGCCTAAACACCAAACACTGGAGGTCCTTGACTTAGGGGACTGAGAAGTGGAAAGGTTAATTTTTTTGGGCCTTAAATCTAACCCCTAAACCCTAAAACCCTAAACCATCCTAAACCCTAACCTAAGTTGAGAGTTGTACCCAGGCCCCTTGTCTCCGAAGGCAGGGCTCGAGAGCCGTACATCCTTAGGCGTTGAACTCCATAACGCCGTCCACATATGGTGAAAGTTCTAACTCTTGTGAGTAGAACCCTTAAACGAACCCTGGCAGGAACCTATAGACCCTAAACCGCAAACCCCTGAACCCCTCAACCCTACACGCCAAAACCCTCAACCCCTACACCCTCGACCCTACAGTAAACCCCATAAAGTTGGAAACCGGATTAAGGCCAAATAGTGCTGGGATTCTCTATACATTACTCTTAAGGATCGAGGCTATGGGGTTTCCAACTTTTTGACTTATACTATAAGAGCCCCAGCCAGATCGACCTGATGAACTCGCCGGAGGCTTCTCTCGTGATTGAAGATCCTTGGGTTTGGGCTTAGGGTTTAGGGTTTAGGGTTTGGGTTTTGGTCCTTCGTTTTTGTGTTCGGGGTTGAGGGCTTGAGATTTGGGCTTTTGGGCTTGAGGGCTTTGGTGTTTAGTTTTTGTTTTTCATATTGGGGTTTAGGCTTAAGGTTTGGGGTTGGGGGTTTAAGATTTAAGATGTAGGATTTAGAGATTGGGGGTTTCGTGAAGTTTGGGTTTTAGGGTTTGGTGTTTAAGTTTGTGGGTAAGGGTCTCTGTGCACATATACATACATACATGCATACATACATACATATAGGTATGTACATATATACATATACACATTCATATATATATATATATATATATATATATGCATATATGTATGCATAATGGTTACTGTAAATTGTGCCCTAAACGGATGTTTATGGGGTGACTGTCTGGGTTCCTTAGAGGGAACTACAAGAATACTGCAGGGTTCACAGTTCAGGAGAGTTTGCGGCTGCGCACTTTTGATGGCGGTGCTAGTTTATGTTCAGGGTTTGAGGTTTAGGAGTTTAAGGTTTAGGGTTCAGCACCCCCCAGATCGAGTCACTGTAGACTCCAGTCGAGCTCGCCACACCGGCACGGATTATCTACACACCCGCCATCTTCATCCTATGACATCAGGAAGGCATTCTACTTACGGATTCTATTCTCCAGGGAACCTTGAAGCGTGAATCTAAAAGCCTGAAACCTACAGCCTCAACCTTAAATCCTATATCCCAAAGCCTGAACCCTGAAGCCTCAAACCCAGGAGCAAAAAAAACGGCTTGAAACCTAAAGCCTGAACCCTAAAGCCTCAATAGCCTGAACCTCAAAAGCCTGAATCCGAACCCTAAAGTCTGAACCCTAAAGCCTGGGCCTTGAAGCCTCAACCTTGAAGCATAAATCGTAAAGCTTGCACCATAGCGCCTGAACCCTAGTTAAGGCCCTTCAGCACCCTAAAGCCGAGCTCTTTTGTTCACGGGATCTTTTGAGCCGGGTCTCTTACGTTGTCTACAGCCCTACCGTACTTGGGCTGAAAGACTCTTGAGTTTAGGGTTTAGGAAAAGGCGATCGGCCAAGGGATCCCAAGCTGAAGTTGGAGCAAGAGTATTCAGGTTCAACAGTTTCCCAAGAACGTTGGTTCACGCCGTTGAAACTGGAGGAGTCAACCAAACTACGGCTGATGGACAAAATCCTGCATGACCCTAAGGACTCTAAACTATGGGAATTACGGTATATTCCTTATAATGGGTAATGCAGGATTTATATCATCAACCGTATTACCAAGCCGAGCTCTGTGCCGGCTCAGGCTGGCTTCGCAACTATCGGCTGGGCACGGCCCCCCACTCAGTAACAGTTGGATAATCTTCATAATATAGATATATAAGGCCCTTAATAGTAGCCCTATTATAGACTGTTACTGTATGGGGGCCGTACCCAAACTATCGGCATGGTCGTCATCGCAGTTCTTTGGCTTTGGAGAAGAAGCGGTGCTCATGCCTAAGGATTACTGGAAGCAGGACTGGACAAGAGATTGGGGAAGCTGTTGCAAGGAAGCATGTGCATGGCTCCAGGCGGGGACGATTGCACGGGATTTCATGAGATCGACAAGCCCCGGTGTGACCATCGACAAGCTGGAGGCAGCACATGGGCCCTTTTTGCGAGGGCACTGTGCGCACGACTTGGCGCGAACTTTGGCGCGTCGTCTCAAGAGTAGGTTTTCGCAGGTCCCAGGCTATCTTTGATCAAACTTCATGAGGGTTCCGGGCCGTGCCTTCCAACAGACCTGAGTATCTTAGGGGTACTTAGAAATAATTGTGAACTTTGGGTTATTATAATCCCTAAGAAACAGCTAAAATTATACTCGTTGCTAGGGTTCTAAGTTCAGTATAGTTCCAGCAGACCTGGGTAATATCTGCACATGGTTTCATTTTTAAGTACTAGTTGTGGCACGAGCCGAAACCCCAACCTTCAAACCTCCAACGCCTGAGCTGGATTTACCCATAAGGGAGTTTCCCAAAATGGGGACCGGAATACGAAACATCGGAAACTTCCATAAAGCAGTTCTAAGACAGGTAAGCAGCCGACCTGGCGGTGCAATCATTGTGCCCTGCGCAGCATGCAGCAGCGGTGGTTTCTAGTTTCTTCAGGATAAGTAGCGGTTTAGGGTTTAGGGTCTAGTTGTGTAGGAAAGTGACTAAGTTGTTCTTCGTTGGTTCCTGGCAGGGTGAAGAGCAAACATTGTTCACTTTCAGTCTTCCACTATGAGGTTGCACCCGACAGCCTCCATGGCTTGCCCAAAGGCTCCATGTACCTTTATAGTAGGTACTTAGGCCTTACAGGGGTCCCCATATAGGTACTTTAAGGCCTATGTATATAGTATATGGGTACATGGAGCCTTAGGGTTGGCTTCGCCGGAAATAGAAGCTTACAAAGTTATCAACAGTATTCCGCGGGGTCCAAACCAGATATGTACGCTACTACTCTAAACAATTGCGTGTTGGGCCATGTTATACTAGCTGTACTATACTATACAATCCCCCGAGTATCCCATCCTACTTACCAGGATCCCGTATTGACTTCTAAATAACATCAAATAGCCCAAAGCACCTTGTTGACAGACTGTAGACCCGACTGTAGATGTTACTGGTATATTTGGGGTCTTACTTGTTGGGGTTTTCCAAGAGTAGACGCATACGAAACTTACCACCTAAACCGGATATTTCCTCCAAGATTAGATGGCTCTCTGTCCGGTTGCGGCCCACGGCGCAGTGCTGGTATTCATATCTTGGCTTAACGATGTTGAGTGCGTTTTGGGGCAGGCTTCTGGATAAAAACGCAGTCGTCCATGTTTTACGTACATACTGGCAGTTTAGCAAATTCTACTTGTTCAAACCCCTGAATTGCGGTTCTCGGGTTTTCAAGTGAGTGTAAGAGTGGCCCCTGATTTCCTTGGTGCTGCACCTAATTCTTTCTACCGTATATACTTCGGCCTTAGCATGGTTCCTATGCAGTAGGGCTCAAACATGACCGTACGGGTACATGGGCCATGAGGATGCATGTTCGAACCCTGGAGCCTGAAGCCCAAATCCTTAAACGCCGCTACGGCTAGACTTCAGATCCTAAACCCAGAAGGAAGTTAGCAGGTGCACTACTTAGCCTCCTACGCCGACGATTTCCGGAACATGGACCGGAATGCCAAGCTGCTGGTTTTTCGCTTGCGTGTGTATGAAAACCTTCATCAATGCCATGCTAATTACCTTTGTATTCAAGGTTGCTGTTCATTGTCTGCTGTTGGTTGTCCATGGTCGGGTCTCTATCGTATGTTGTCTGGTGCACATTGTAGATTGTAGGCTGTAAACCGTACACTGTAACTTGTATGTTGTATACTGTTTGCTCTAAATCGTATTCTGAAAGAACCCTTTGTGCTTTATGTTGTGTGATGTCATGTCGAACGGTTGGTATTATGGTCCCATATTATTTGTTGTTGTATTTTCACTCCGTATTTGTTCTATGTTCGTATATTGTTTCGTGCTAGGTTTTGCTCTTTGTTTTTTGTTTTTTTTTACAATGTTACAGTTTTACCTGCTGTATTGCACCACTGTCTATTCTAGTCGATTCCGTTTCATTCTTCTATGCTCTATATCAGCAAAATACTGTAGGCAATGTACCAGTCCATTCTATTCTATCCCATTCTAAGTCTAACATACTACAATGTAATTGTCATGTTATTCTGTTACACTGTGTTTTATCCTGTTACACTATATTATGTTTTACTGTGTTGCATGTCATTGTTGCTCTTTCTGTTGTTCGTTACATGTTTTTCCTTTGTACTGGATTCGCATTATGTTCATATTACACTACTGTATACCATACTATATCACATCAGGCTTCGTTGTATTGTATGTTATTTCGTAGTATTTTATAGCATATTTACTTTATTGAAGGAAAACTGATGGGAGAGCACAATATGATGAAGGTACCTTATGCCATATCATAACATATCATGCCACATGATATCAGTTCATATCGCCATCGTCATCATGATACACTGTAACGCATCATAACATGATACATCATTCCATATCATATCAAACTGTTTATGCATTGCACTTCAGTTCGTGTTGTTTTATATGAGGTCGTCTTAGTTCGTGTCACATCATGTGATGTTGTTTCCTTCTCATCCCACCATTCTGTTGTACATTGTATTTAGTCCTACCACAACGTATTGCATGTTTATACAACAGCGTAGTATATGTGTTGCTTTCCCTTCCACGCCATCACATTACATTGTGTGTTGTTGTGTGTATTATATTTCATATATCGTGTTATATAGTTTATGTTGAAATCAGATTGCTCTGTGCTCTGTGTTTCTATCTTAGCTTAACCTTAAAGCCTCAGGTCGTCTTAAAGCCGTCTGTATGCCTCCATTGGAAGGACATTCTGCGATGGATTCGCAACCTCAGCAGCGACCTTAGAGCCTTGAGTTTCTGAGCTGAGGGTTTAGGGTCTAGGGTTTATGGTCTAGAGTGTAGCCAGTATAGGGTCAGTAGGGCTTGCGGGTGCCTGCAGAGTTTTACTCTTCAGATTCAGGTGAAGGAACACCGGACCTCTTCCGCTTGCCAGTGGTTGCGACGTCTATTGAGTTCCAGCGCAATCACCCTCAGATGATTCATGAGCGCAGTTTACGTTGAACTATTATATACTGCTCTTCTTGCTCCTGCTCCCGCTCCTGCTGCTGCTCCTGCTACTGCTGCCGCTATCTCCACTGCTACTATTGCTGCTGCTCCTCCGACTCCTCCTCCTCCTACTCCCAATCCTACTTCAACTCCTAGCCCTAGATACTGCTGCAACTTCGACCACTGCTACTACTACTACTACTACTACTACTACTACTACTACTACTACCACGACTACTACGGCGACTACTACTACTACTACTACTACTACTACGACTACTGCTACGACTGCTGCTGCTGCTGCTACTACTACTACTACTACGACTACTACTACTACTACTACTACGACTACTACTACTACTACTACTACTACTACTACTACTACTACTACTACTACACCTGCAGCTGCACCTGCACCAACTACAACTACAATTACTATCACTACTACAACTACTATCTACTAAGTACTAACTACTTTCTACTAACTACTAACTACTATCTAATAACTACTAACTACTAACTACTAACTACTTACTACTAACTACTAACTACTACCTACTACCTACTACTTACTACTACTACTACTACTACTACTACTACTACTACTACTACTACTACTACTACTACTACTACTACTACCACGACTACTACGGCGACTACTACTACTACTACTACTACTACTACTACTACTACTACTACTACTACTACTACTACTACTACTACTACTACGACTACTGCTACGACTGCTGCTGCTGCTGTTGCTGCTGCTGCTGCTACTACTACTACTACTACTACGACTACTACTACTACTACTACTACTACTACTACTACTACTACTACTACTACTACCACTACCCAAGGGTGTATTTTTACGAGCTGATAGATTTGCTGCTGATATAACGGCCATGGCCTTCCCAGTAAGACGCACGCTAACTCTGAAAAGCCCACAAGACCCAGCACTGAAACGCGACGAGCCCTTGAAGGAACACCTGTACGGTTGATGATATAAATCCTGCATTACCTTGAGGGCCCTAAACTATGGGAATTATGGTATACTCCTTATTATGGGTAATGCAGGATTTCTATCATCAACCGTAGTGCCGAGGCTTGGACCCGAAGCACTTACATGTTTGCGCAGGCCCGGTTTAGGGTCCCTTGAGGAGTAAAGGAGTTTTGGTTATATAGGGCAATATAGGGCTGAATTCTACTTAGGTCGCATTTTCTACCGGGGGAACGAGGGCGGTTGGTTTCGGGAGATTTGCATTTAGTTGTATATTCAGTGTCTCGGGTTTAGTGTGCGGTTGCCTTCTGCAGGACTATATGGTTTTCAAGAGTTGTCTAGTCAGCTGTTTCTGGCATCGTTTTTAGATGGCTGCCTAGGGATGTTATGACGGAGATTTTGTTGCGTGCTTTTCGCCCTCGAAGACTCTAGAACCCTAAGCCCTAAGAGCCTAACACCCTAAAGGCCCAAAACCCCCAAACCCTAAACCCTAAAACCTTCAGATTCAAACCCTTAAACCCTTAGACCCCAAACCCCAAACCCTAACCCTTAGATGCAATGTTGCTTCTCAAGGGTTCAGGCTTCAGGCTCTTGGTCGCGGTTTTGGATCGCGGGAGGATTTGAGACGGTCTCTGTTTTCAATCCAACCAACCCAGACAGCCCAAGATCCTTTCGTTCGAGATTTTACTCCGGGGTACCAAGAAATATTTTTAAATTTTTGGTTATTATAATCCTTAAGAAGTAGCTAAAACTGTACTTTTTGCTAGGGTTCTAAGTTCAGTATACTTTAGGTTAACTCATAATAAGAAGCCCCTTATGACTTGATGTGTACTCCTTAATCAAAGGGTATTGGGCTCCCTGAGAACATACGCAAGATACTTTTCGAGCATAAGGGATAGCAGTAGACCTGAGACCTAAACCAGGCTTTGACCCCTAATCCTGAAACCCTGAATTGTAAATCTCAAAGACCCTGAAAGCCTATGAGAACCGTGCAAGCCCTAAACCCTAAACCCTAAACCCTAAACCCTTTTCGCTCACTGTTTGGGGTTTACGGTTCAGGGTTTTAATGAGACCTAGACCCCCAACGCCGAGCCTTCTACACACGACAAATCCAAAATCAGTCTTATTGGGGTCGGAATGAAGACCAACCTTATTCCTTGGGGCTTATTATTCTAACAGTCGAATATGCCACCCAAATCCTTATCTACTTGTTAGTGCCCCCCTAGTATCCGGAACCGCGGCCAGCTTTGGAGCTTTGTGTGCTCACCCAGCTTCCAAGTCGTGAACCCCGAAACCTAAACCCTAAGCCCTAAACCCTAAACCCCGGCCAGCTTTAGAGCTTTGTGTTCTTACCCAGCTTCCCAAGTTGTGAAGCCTGAAAAAGCTTGGGGTCATGGGGGGTTTGGAGATTCACGGCTTTCCCTAGGCATCTTAAGGACTCATATATAATTAATAGGGTTTAGGGACTTAAATATTGGACTCTAAGGACTGTTATATTAAGGCCCAAAGGCCCCAAAGTAGTTCCTTTTTGGGGTTCGTATATAGAATCCTATAGGGTAATCCCAAAAAGGAACTACTTTGGGGCCTCTGGGTTTGGGCCCAAAGACCATATTATACAAGGCTTTTGGGCTGTTTTGATGCCCAAGCTTAGGGTCGATGGCTCGCACAGAGGTTTTTGGATTACAGTGAAAGCCAGAAAGTTGGAATATGATTATCTTTACCCTTTTATGGTATATTATAGGGTATCCTACCATGAAACCATATTCCAACTTTCTGGAGTTCCCTTTAGGGGTCAGGGAGTAGGACTTCAGCATTTTGCAGGGTTTAAGGACCTAGGGTCTACGCCCAGCTGTTTTCCCCTAAACCCCAAACCCTGGCTCGCCAAAACACTAAACGGAAGTTTCCCAAAATTAGGGGTACCTTATTCTGGGGTCCTTAGAATAAGGATCCTACTATTTAGGGTGCTACATTTGGGTCCCCTGTTTTCGGAAACTCCCAATCCTAAGCCCCAAACCCCAAACCCCAAACCCTAAACCCTAAACCCCTAAACCCCAAACCCAAGCCCCCTGAGGCCCCTATTAGTATTAGGGTCCCCCATGTTCGGAGACTCCCAAACGAGTCGAGGTATGTCGGATGTGGCCCGATTGGAAGTGATGTTCAAGTATGGAGGCCGTGGGGCTCTTCAAGCCTTACAGCCAGACCCTACTGTAGGGGCCTTAACAATTAGCATAGGGTTTTGGTGTTGACTATACATTAAGTATAATATGGAACCCCCAAAATAGTATTGGTAATTCTCTAGGCCCCTACAAGTAGGGTTTGGGGTTCAGCGGTTTGGGGGTGAAGGGGTTAGAAGGGTTTTAGATTTAAGGCAAGTGGCTTAGGGCCGAGTGCTGTAGTCTTTAGCAGTGCAAGGTTAAGGGTTTCCGTTTCGGGACCGCTTCCGCAAACCCTGACACCTAAAGCCTATATATACACGTAATTAGTCCAAGAGTCTACCTTTCTGGTATGAGCTTATCCCTAAGGCTCCATGTGCCCTTAAAATTTTTTACTTAGGCCTTAAAGTACCTATATAGGAACCCCTTTAAGGCTTAAGTATCTGCCATTGGGTAAGGCATGACGGGTGATTTTCTGGCCTTTGCGGGTCACTGTTGCCTGTGCCTAAACCCTAAAGCCTAAGCCTTAAACTTTAACCCAAGACCCGTGATGTACAGGTTGCTCCATGTACACCGCTCTTGGGCACCGTTTCGTTTTGCCTCCAGGGGTTATGGCCGTTCTATAGGGATTTCTGGAAGTATTCATTGTGTGTTTATACATACATACATATATATATATATATATATATACATACATGTTCTTGCCGAGGGGGGTACAGTCAACCCTAAACCATGGAAGCTGCAGGAATATACATGGACACCGACTTCCTCCCGGACCGGCCGTTTGCCGACTACGGCGACCTTTTCCGCTGGCCCTTTGTGACACACAAGGTGAGGGATAGTAGTTTAGGGATCCCCAAAAGCACATGAGCATAAGCATTTGTTGGTGATATCCCTACTTTATTGGTCTTCACCATAAGGGGGTTTATATGGGATATCCCTATCCTTATTTTTGCTTATGAGCTTTTTGGGGGGCCCTATTAGTGGGACTTTGGGGTTTTTGGCAGTAAGGTTATGAGTACCTTAATTGGGGTTATAAGGAATTATCACTCCGGCTACCCTATTTATATTTATAGCCCCAGTTACTATGTCCCATGATCCTTTAAGTACCCTAATGCTCCCGGAGCCTTGTAGTGAGATTCCAAACCTTAGCCCCCAAAGCCCAAACCCTCCCCCAGTGGTCCCATGACCCTCTTAGGAGCCTTAGGGATCCCTTAATTAAGGAATAATCTTGAAATCAGATCTGGGAGAATATGCAAAACACAGCGGTAGACTTTGACCCCTAAATCATTACGGTTACTACTGTAGTTTAAGGCATATTCCTTAATCAAAGGGTATTGGAGTCTCTGGGTGGTAGGCTCGTTTCTGGAATATACCTTCGTATGACGGTCCTTACAGGATCCTATTACTTGCGGTTTCTTATACCCTAAGTGTCCATGGTGCTTACCTGTGGATCCAAAAACCTACCGTTTTAAGGGTCAGGCCCTCTAATTAAGGGGTCATAACCTACTATTTTTGTAGGGTTTGGGGATTCAGGTATAGACTGTGGTGTATGCGACTGTTAACCCTCCACTACGTCGGAACCCGTGTCAGGTTCTTTGGACCCTCTGTACCCCATCGGCTTTGCAATGGAAGTGCTTTTCTGCATTGGTTTCAGCGGCAACCTGGACGAACCTCACACTCGACCGAAACCGCCATGTAGCACAGGGGCCTTACTTGGTAGAGTGGGGGTTTGGCGTATGTTGAGGTATGTCTTTAACAAACTACACGAAATAGCTACTATAACGGAAGAACATTGCTGATTCTGTAGGCTTCTATATGAACATCCGACGGGGCCAATATCTCGCCCACTAAGAGAAACTCTCAACTAAAGACCACTACCTAAATCCTAAACCAAAAAGCCTTCTACTGTAGCATACACAATCCCGCAACAAAAGCCTGTAAGCTCTGAGGGTCCATGTGCCTACATGGTATATAAGGCGCTCCTGAACAGTGACCATCGGCGCGAAACATATACAACATCGGCACATGGACCCTGAGGGTATTCCGGGGCTCCAAAGAGCCCAAAGTAGATACCTTTTGTATACTTGCAGCCCTAGGGTTAGATATAGTATCAGAGATCAGGGTTTGGAGATGTTTGGAGGTTCAGGGTCTAGTGTCTATGGTGCAAAAACGGGTTGCTCCGAATATGGAGAAGAACGACCATGTTCCACAACATGAACAGGTCTGCGGCATCAACATCATCAACTCAATTCTGTCATTCGCTTCTCGTCTGGAGTTGGACGTGAGTTCTGTGAAAGCCCCACTCTGTATTCAAGTTTTTTATTTCGGCAAAAAAACTTTCCTGATTAGTACCCTGTTGCCCTCTCTTCTTTTGGGTTCCCTTATTAAGACCAAGCAGTAGGAAAAAGGGTACCCTTTTCAGGAAGGGTCTACCCGGTTGATATCTTTTTGGGGTGCGGTTGGGGTCAGACGGCGTACTTAACCCTCATACAATTGTCCCAAATTAGGGGACCCTAATATAGTTCCCCTAAATAGAGTAAGGGACCTCAAGTGTACTCGATACTCGGATGCGGATCTTGAACACCGAAGTTGCTGAGTGTTTTCATCAGGGTAGAAGTAGAGGTTTGCGGCTCGGGCACCCCTACGGCAGTTATCTGGACACCCCTTGCCATGCAAACCCATATGGGTAGTTGTCGAAATTAGGGTCCCTTTTTGGGGTACCCTGAATACTAGGTGCCGTATTATAGAAAGGACCCAAAAAGGGACCCTAATTTTGACAACCACCCATATGTGTGCTACATGTCATGGATTGTGAGCATGGCGGTCAGCGAGCAAATGTCCTAGATAGAGGTTGCCTGTATGACGTCAAGCCCATGCACCAGACTAATGGGAGCCCATGTATCTATGTAGTAGAACTTTGGCCGTAAAGGTTTCTTATTATGTACTGACTGCAAGGCCAAAGTACACATTTACTACATAGCTACATGGACCCTTCGGGAGTGTGCCCTAAACCCTAAACCCTAACTCCGATCTCCGGATCCCAAATCAGCTTCAGGCGAAGGTTTCGGGCCCTTTAGTAAACCCCATATTTAAAGTTGGACACCGGATTAAGGCCAAATAATGCTGGGATTCGCTAAACTTAAAGGGGAAAAGGAGGGACCCTTAATGGGGACCCCTAGCCTATAATGGGCTATATAATGGGTATATAATAGCTATATTAAGGGTATATACCTAGGTGTCCTTATTAAGGGTCCCTCCTTTTACCCTTGGATATACATTTCCCTTAAGGATTGGTTGGGCTTCTACTATGGGCGACCCCAGACCCCGGGAGGATCCAAAAAGTAGATCCCCTTTATGGGGGTTCCTATAAATGTACCCTTAGTAGTATAGCGCCCCAAATTAGGGGATCTACTTTCTAGATCCTCCCGGGCGTCTGGGACACCACTGTCCCATCATTGCACGATCGCCGAGCCGAGCTGCACAGTCGTATTCCCTTAGACTTATCAACCCTGTAGCAGCCGCAGTGACTCTTGACAACGCTGCCTGTGGGGCCACTGTGGGGTTATAGTAGTCAAAGAGCGGTACGATCTAGGGTAGTCTTCGTTGAAAATAAGGCCTACTGTTATGGTTACAGCTACTGGATAATAGCTAGCGCCGAAATGATGCCTTAAGCATCCTTCAAGCTGAAATCCGAATCAGCATGTCTCTAAATCCTGAACCCTACCCTCAGCTCTATCCACACGAACCTGGACACCTCCCCACACCCCCGGGAGGGTCTGGAAAGTAGATCCCCTAAGTTGGGGCCCTATGCTACTAAGGGTACTTTATAGGACCCCCCTTAAAGGGATCCACTTTTTGGATCCTCCCGGGGGTCTGGGGCAATGCATGCAAGGATAAGAAGTCGGCATTTCTCGACTTTGCCTGGGGCCTTGGAGCTCAGGCTCTCGAGTTTAGGGTTGAGGGTATAGGGTTTAGGGTTTAGGGCCTTAGAGTTTAGGGTTTAGGGTTTAGGGCCTTAGAGTTTAGGGTTTAGGGCCTTAGAGTTTAGGGTTTAGGGCCTTAGAGTTTAGGGTTTAGGGTTGAGGGCATAGGGTTTAGGGTTGAGGGTACAGGGTTTAGGGTTTAGGGCCTTAGGGTTTAGAGTTGGGGTTGAGGGTTGAGGGTTTAAGGATTCTTTCAAGGGATCATGTCAGAGGTCATGGAAAGGGTGCCGTGCTTTGAAGTGTTGCCGTAAGGCTTCCATACAATTGTGCCGCATGTTTTGTTGTTTCTGCTGCTAGGGCTTTGGGGTTGTGGGCTTTCGGTCTGGGGGTTTTGGGGAGTAGGTTCCATGACTTCCGTGTGTGGTTTCGGGCTGTCTTGCTTCTAGTTTCTTTTCACGGGGTCCTGACTCTGAAAATTGTCAGCAGAACAGCGGCGACCCTGAACCCTAAGCCCCAAGCCCTAAACCCTGAACCCTAAACCCTAAACCCCTGAACCATGGACATTGGGGATGCCTGCAGCCCCAAACCCTGCAAAAGAGGTGTGAATCCATGATCACAAGCAGGTTAGAGCCCTCACATAACTGGGTAGCTGGAGCGATGGACAAGTCCTGAACCATAGACGAAGCCTACGGAAACCCTGCAGGTAAACCTTACGATCAATAAGGGGTTCAGCTTCGGGTCGTCGACACTGGTTCGAGGATTTAAGGCTCAGGCTGCAGAATGGTTCCGGCAGTGATCCAAACCAAGCGCCATCGAAGCTACGTCAACACTTGCCTACTCCATCTGACCGGGAAGGAAGGGAAGGAACACATCGCAGTACGAAGGAGCTAGGGCCTAGGGTTACTTTGCTATATATATATATATATATATATATATCAACAGGATGACTTACCAACTACTCACACCTACAACGTCAAGCTCTACAACCTACACCTTGAACACTACACCCCGAAATACTTTGTCTAACCTAGCAGTCCTGATCGAGACCTCAGTGTTCCCCTATGGGTACATTGGTCCATGTCCAACATGCATGTACTTTTGCCCCCGAAGGAGCTCCACACTCACCGCTAAGCCTCCGAATCCTTCAAGAATTCTACCCTGAAGCCCTAAACTCTAGGCCCTAAACCCTAAACCCCTGAACCCTAAATCCCTAAACCCTGCTGGGCCATGTTGCACAAAGCTGTCGAGATGGATTTGCGGTTTCACAAATGCATAAACCTGGAAAACACATGGCCCTCACAAAAACATCCATTCGCAGCATCCTACACAAAGCCGAAGTTTCCGCAAAAATCTCCAGGACCTCAAGGCCCGAAGCTTTCAAAAGCCCTCACCCCTGCAGGGTTTGAAGTTGCGGGTTCAGGGTGGGGCCCCGAAACCGCCTTAACCGTTACTACGGTTGATGATATAAATCCTGCATTACCCAGAATAAGGAATATACCATAATTCCCATAGGTTAGGGTTCTTAAGGTAATGCAGGGTTCAAATCATCAACAGTCAACAAGTAAACCCCAAACCCGAGGCTTTGAATGCCTACCGTGAGAACTGCAAGACCTTCAGAAACTGCATGCCTGAGGCCGTTGACGGGGAGTGGTTTTGGGGTTTCTGTAAGCGTTCTACAATCAGGGCCTAGGGATAACAGGATTCAAAATGCTTACGGTTTAGGGGTGACGTTCAAAAGCCCGAGATGGTCCCGGAATCACCGAACTTAGGGGCAAAGCACCCTTACTTATTGAACTTAGAGGGTTCCTTCAAGGGCTCCTCAATGGTTTAGGGTTTAGGGTTTAGGGTTTGTCAAAAGGGTTCTAGAAGGGATCTTTGGGGGTTTAGGGTCTACTAGGTTCCTGAGTGGTAGGCTTTTGCCCTTCTTTTGAGGTCCCAGTATCAAAACCGAATAGTAGGAACAAGGGCACCCTTATTATAAAGGGGCTACTCAGGAACCTAGTTGGGGATTGAGGCATTTGGGCTTGGAATTCAAGGTCGAGTGTTTTGAGGGCTAAAGTTCCGGGTTTGAGGCAGATTCCGCAATGAAGGGGCTTTAATCACTTAGAGCAAGGTCTGTTGGTATGTTATACTACCATTCTAAAAAGGAACCCCCGAACACCCTGTTCGAACTATTAAGCCGCCTACGTGAATGAAGGACATGTTGGTTTCCACAGCTTTAGATCCGAAGCCTTAGAAGGTTCCCCTACCCTGTAATTAATTGTGGTATAATCGGAATATAGTAGGGCCCCAATATAATCCATATAGTCACCGTTACAGTATCGTAACCCCTTTAAGGTAAATTATAGGGGATCCTACCATGAAACCATATTCTAACTTTCTGGAGTTCCCTTTACAGGGTGGGGGCCCCTTCTAACCGAAGCCTGCTCAGGGAGGCGCCGGTCCGCCTTTTATGGCCTCTTGGAATGCACGGAAATGAGGCTTAGGGTTTTAGGGTTTAGGGTTCAGGGTTTAGGGTTTTAGAGTTTTAGGGTTTAGGGTATAGGGTTTTAGAGTTTTAGGGTTCAGGGTTAGGGTATAGGGTTTAGGGGTTAGCGGTTAGGGTTTAGGGTGTAGGGTTTAGGGCTTGGGCTTGCCATAAGGGCCCATGCACCCAAATAATATATACGTTGGCCTTAAAATGGTCCCTCTTTAGGTGCACTGGGGCCAAAGTGTATACTATCTTGTGGTTTGTGGGCTTGGGAAACGAAGGCTGACGAAAATCTTCTGTGAAACCCTAGGCTTCTTGACAGAAAGGCCCTAGCTGCCTCAGCTCAGGGAGCTGCTCATCCTGAATAACGCTTGATTGCGGGCCTTCAGTTTCCAAATGCGAGTTCAGAGCGCTTTCAGAATTACCATTAGCCCAGAGGGTCCTTGTAGACTACTGTTATGGAAGTACGCCCCCAAAACCATAATGGGGATGGTCTTTTTGGGCCTGATTCCATAACAGTAGCGTATATGGACCGTCTGGGCAGCATCAAGCTTTCTCTGGTGACTCTGAGCACAACGTTCAACTCTCTGATTGTGGAGCTTTCCGTTCCGTGTAACCCCCAAGGGGTATATGCACACAAATAGCACTCATACTGGGGCCCAAAGCCTATAGCAACTTGAAGACCAATACATGCGCACATATATATATATATATATATATACACACACACACAAACACACACACACACACACGCACACACACGCATACGTTTATACTTATGTTCCTACACACATCCCCACACACATTCCGGCATACATATACATGTAAATGTATACACACATACATGTATATATATATGCTACATATATATATATATATATATATATATTCATATCTATATATATATATATATATATATATATATATATGTTCTACATATATATATATATATATATATATATATATATATATGCTATATACATATATATATATATATATGCTATATATATGCTATGTATATGCTATATATATATACATACATACATATATGTTGTATGTGTGCTTTTAGCCCAAGGCTCACGCCCGAAATCCTGCAGCACTGAAAGCAGATTGAGCCCCGTGAAGCCCGACATTGGGTCCAAGAAGGACATGCCACACCAAATGAAGACACCAAGTCGAAGCCATAGATTTATGGATGAGGGTTTGAGGGACTATATCTGATCACAGAACTTATATGCCAAGGATGTATAAACCCTACCTTAACCCTGAATAACCTACCTTTTTAGGCTTCCTTATTATGATTTCCTTAGATAAGTCCTTAAACAGGTAGGTCCTTCAGGGTTAAGGTAAGCCCTATAGGCCCTAAGCCGTGGCTCCGAGATCTAGGGGTTGGGGGTCTAGTGCCAGTAAAACCCTTGAGCTGAGGGTTTAGGGTTTAGGGTTTAGGGATTGGCCCAAAATGGCTCCGATATTTCTACTTTCGGGCCACCCTAAACCCTACATGTGTACTTTAGGGTCAGAGGATCTGTGATCCGGGTACATTTGCTTTCAAGCTTGCGCTGTTGGTCAGAAATTGATTTCAAATAGGGTAGCTATATTTTTCATAGTACTCAGTTGGAGTTGTACTTGCTAAGTGCCATGAACCTCCAATCATTGAGTTCATGCAACGCTATTGCACCTGCAAACAAACACAAGTCGCCACTTGGTGGCTGCATCGAAAGTCAATGGAACCCCACCAACCCAAGCGACCCCAGATAACCAACGCGTCATAGATCCTGATAGATCCTAGGCTAAACCTAACCCTCTAGACACGCAAAGCTTTTCATGCCTTGAACCATACCTAACCTACAAATCCTAAGCCCTAAACCCTAAACCCTAAACCTTAAACCCTAAACCCTAAACCGTAACCCCCAAACCCTAAACCCTAACCCCCAAACCCTAAACCCTAACCCTCAAACCCTAAGCCCTAAACGCCCCCAGGGCTCTATCCAAGCCACAGATTCGAGACTGCTGATCCCCAAGCCCCGAGCATTACCGACCATTCGATAAGTTAGAAGTTATAGTTTCAGGGTTGAGGGTTTTGGGGTTTGGGTTTTGGGGTTTGGGGTTTAGGGTTTAGGGGTTTAGGGTTTAGGGTTTAGGATTCAGGGGTTTAGGGTTTAGAGGTTTAGGGTTTAGGGTTTTGGGGTTTAGGGGTTAGGGTCCAGGGTTTCGTCGCTTCATGTTTAGACTAGTACAATACTTTACCACGTATTCTGAGCCTGAAGGCCCTGTCATCCTTGCACTACCCGTTCCTTTACTGTAAGGGTTCCTTTAAGGGTTCCTTTAAGGGATTAAGGGGTTCTATAGGGTTTAGGGTATAAGGGTCCATGGTAGCTTTATGAGTGAGGCCCGCCCTTCCCATATCAGAAGCCCTCCTCTGAGGATCATGGGACTTGTTAAGTATGGTTGTAAGTGCCTTACGTAGGGTTTTTGAGTACTTATAGGTATGGTTACCTTTTTTATGCGCTTTGGAGTACCATACTTTAACACTTTTTTCATAAAGGAACCATTACGACAAGAAAGTTTATACGTGTTTTGCCTAAAAGAAACCCCGTATTTATAACCCGAGTTACTAAGCCCCATGAGCCTTTGTCCCTTTTTGGAACCCTATTATAGTACGGCACCTAATATTTAGGGTACCCAAAAAGGGGACCATCATTTTGACAAGCACCCATATATCATTAGCCCTAAACCCTATAGATCCCTTATAGGAACTCTTAAAGGAACCCTTACAGGATCCCTTTAAAGGAGCCCATCATTTTGAGAACCATCCGCATGAGCCTTTAAGTACAGAGGCCATGGCCATCCTCCGCAGGGGAACTCAGTGGTCTATGAGAAGGGGCCCCCACCCTGTAATAGTGGTATAATAGGAATATAATAGGGCCCTAGTCACTATTACAGGGTGGGGGCAGCTTCTAAGTGGTCTATGAGATCCTTAGAAAACTTGGCGTTCTTCTGGTTGGCTCTTAGGACTTTAACTTTTTTTTGGGTTTCTATATGAACTTTAAAATGAGGCTAAAAAGTATAGCTTTCAGGAGGGTTTCAGAAGTCAGCCAAGAAAAAAGCGCGCGCTAGAAGGGCTCCTTGAAGTCTTCTCGCTTTAGGGTTTAGGGTTCTATGCGCCCAGATCTTTCAAAATCACTTGATGAAGGAATATACCGTCACTTAACTCATCTCACAACAGACTTAAGGTGAAAGTTCGCATATTAAGGGATTCTGGAAGATCTGAGTATCTAGCCTTTACGGTTTTATGGTCTAGGGCCTTTTTGCTTCGGCTTTCGGAGCCGGGGAGCTGCCAGGGGTTAGTTTGTTCTTTGCATGTTTTGGTGTTAATGTGGGTGGTTGTCAAAATGAGTGTCCCTTTTAGGGTACCCTAAATATTAGGTGCCGTACTATCATAAGGACCCAACAAGGGACCCTAATTTTGACAACCACCCATGTAGGAACCTGATTAAGAAACCTTGGGCCTTTATTCAGGGTTCCTTGTATGATCCCTACTGTTTTGGGGTTGTAGGCCAAGGGTTTCTTCATCAGGTTCCTACATCAGGGGTTCAGGGTTCAGGGGTTTAGGGCTAGGGTTTGCGGCTCATCGGTTTGGGGGTTTAGGGTCCTAAGGGTTTGTGGTAGAGTTTGAACAAAGCTCTATCGGCACACTTCCCTGAATGCTGTCAATCCTGTAAGAAACCTTCTCCGGCTTCCCTCACTGATACCCGAAAGCCAAAAAGTTTCTCGCAGCAACCCCCCCCAAAAATCGTCACAGCTTCCACCTGAGCCAACCCTTGAATCCTGAACGCCTGATTCCTTGGCAGCCGAAACCCTGTAGAACCCTTGTAGAACCCTGAATTCAAGGAACCCTTAAAGGAACCTAATCTACTACAAAGGTACCATGGAGCCTCTAACAAGGTACATGGAGCCTTTCCCAGAGGGTTCAAAGTACCTATATGGTAGAATGTAGGGTTTCTAGTTATGATTTGGGGAAGTATCCCCGATAACAGTACCTAGGACCCTTTCGGTTTGGGTGTAGCCCTCGCCCTGCTTTGACGCTGCAGGATGGAATAGCTCAGAGATCGCTTTGATCGGGCAGCAGTTCTTCCACGACTCCAGGTGGATAGTTGTCAAAAGTGTGGTCCGTTTGGGGGTACCTTAACTGTCAGGTATTATAGCAGGGACCCAAAAAGGGACCATAATTTTGACAACTACCCAGGTGGGTGTTTCGAGGCCCTACTCTAGGGGCCGAAACTTATTACCAATACTATTCCTAGGGTTCCTTAATTATTTTATTCATAGTATCAATATATACCCCCAAAATCCTATTCTGATTGTTAAGGCCCCTTTTTTACAGGTTTAGGGCCTAGGGTTTAGGGTTTGGGATCCCAGCGGCCAAGGGCTGCGAGGGTTTAGGAAGGTTTAGTGTTTGGGTTCTTGCATGTTTTCGCTGGGTGTTTCCAGGCCTTACCTAACCTTTGATATTGGAGGAGCTAAGGAGCCAGGGGTGATGATAATCCCTACTTAATAATGAGCTAAAGAGCCAAGGGAACCCCAAAACCATTGGTTAGTTACAGTTTTGCCAAGATGTTCACGGTCTCAACTTGAGTCTCAACAGGGTGTTACTGAGTTGTTGTTTCTCTGTGTGTGTGTGTGCTTTCTCGGGTGCGGCTTGGATGGGTTTCAGAAGGGTTGTGATGCCGTTTAGCTTAAAACTGGCTGGAAGTCTAGGAAACCCTCAACCTAAACTTTTACACCGAAGAGTGCCTGCTTTTGCCGACCGATATGGAGTGTGAGGATTGAGGTTTGGGGGTGCATTGTCGAGTTTCAGATTTGTCCCGGGCGTCTTCGGGTCCCCTTGTGTTTTCTCTGCTGCGTTAGCCTGGTGTGTGGAAGTTGAAAAAGCAACAAGCCAAAATCTTAAGCCTGGCATCTACCCATAGGCCCCAAAGTAGTTCCTTTTTGGGATTACCTTTTTGGATTCTATATATGAACCCCAAAAAGGAACTACTTTGGGGCCTATGGGTAAAGCTGCAAGTCCAACTCTGATCAGGTAGCTACCCTAAACCCCAAAGCGCTCGGCCATCGAAGCCTCACATCGAGGTGTGAACCATTGATTGAAGTATCCGGAAGTCGTCCCTATCATCACATTACGATACACCCCCACATGATTCTGGCTGAGTAAGTTACCCTGTGCTTCCAAGGACCGTATACTTAGGACCCTGGACCCCTTAGGGACCCAAGACTGGGGTCCCTGGAAGCATATGGGAGTTTCCGAAAATTAGGGGTACCTTATTTGGGGTCCTTATAATAAGGATCCTACTATTTTGGATACCATATCCGGAGCCCCTATTTTCGGAAACCCCCATATGGGCGCTCATATGGTAGGCCTTCAAAACGAGGAGCCAGATCGTCTCGCACCTGACTGAGAATTCCTGGGGCCAGCGCTGACCCCCTGCGGTTTCTCAGACACCCAAGGCCGCTGGGTTTAGGGGTGTAGTAAGGGTTTAGGGCTTTGGGGTTTAGGGGTTTAGTCAGGGTTTAGGGATTCAGTGGTTCAGGGGTTCAGTGAGGGTTTAGCTTTAGGTTTTAGGGCTAGGTAAGGGTTGAAAGAATCAGGGTTTGGGGTCTAGGGTGGTTCAGTGTTTAGGGAAGTTTGGGGTTTAGGTTGTTTTTGTTTTAGGGGTTGGAAGTTTAGTAAGTTCTTGTTGGTTTGTTTGTTTGTTTGTTGAGGATTTGTGTGTTCTCGGGTTCGCAGTTAAGCGTGGCTCGTGCTATTTGAGGGTCATTTGAGGACGTCAGGCAGCTGCGACGGGATTTCCGAGGATGTAGGGCTCCATGTGCAAAGGTAGAAAGACATAGGCAAAGGAACATGCATCATGAAATTGAACCATAAGTCCATAAGTATATGGAGAGAGAGAGAGAGAGAGAGAGAGAGAGAGAGAGAGAGAGAGAGAGAGAGAGAGAGAGAGAGAGACAGAGAGAGAGAGAGAGCGCGAAGATGAGAGAAGAGAGTTGTAGCCGCATCTCTTCTTTGCTTGGTCGAGGAGCAGCCATCAACTTCCAAGGACTTCGCCGAGGCCGTGCAGAAGATGCCTGCGGCCTGGACTTCTGAAAATCCCCAAGTTCCACCAGAGGTTCTTTCTGTGCACCATAGGGCCGTAAAGGGTGCCATACCATAAGAGTAGCATACTGTAAGGGTTCAGGGTTTCGGGCATAAGGGTCCATGAAACCATGTAATACACACTTGGACCCTAAACTGCCGATGTAGGATGACACAAAGCTTATGTGCTTATGTACTTACTATGCAAGTACATAAACTTGCAGGGGTCGTATTAGTCGTTGCATTGCTGTTGTTGATGCTGTTGTAGTGGCATCGGTAGTGGTCAAGGCAGTATAGTGGTAGTGGTGGTCGTGGTGGTGGTCGTGGTGACAGCGACAGCTGCGGTGGCATCGGCAGCTGTGGTTGTTGTTGTTGCTGCGGCCGCTGCTTTTCTTGTTGAGTCAAGAATCTGAGGGGCTGATTGGGGTCTGAAATCCTTTATTTCGGAAGGTGGCTGGAGCTTTGCGGGTAAGCGCAAGGTCAGTCGGCAAAGCCTGGGGGCCCAAATTTCCCGGGTGTCTCTATTGGAACACCAAATCCTTGGTTAGTTCTTTTTGGGCGAAAGAAACAGGCGCAGAAAACCGAAATAGTAGAATAAGAAATTGGCGCACCGAGATCAGGGTACTCTGGATTTTGTGTTGTCAATGTGCGTATGTTTTTTGTACTGTTGTTTTTTGTCACATGGCTGCCGAAAACCTCAGTGACTTCTTAAGCAGTGCTGTCGACGTCGCTGGACCAATGCACTTGCCAGTCCTGGTTGCAGCAGTGGTGATGGCGGAAGAAGTTGTGGTAGTAGTGGTGTGTCGCAGCAGTTAAGTATGTGTTAGATGCATGCGGGAGTCTTCGCATTTTGTGATTGTGGTTTTTACTGTCCTCGTCCTTAACATGCTTGCCGTTGTTTGGTCCATTTGGACTTTGCTTTTGGACTCTGTCGTTGCCTCGAAGCTTGAGCTAAGGCCGCATCCTGGCCGTGAGCTTGCAGAGAGCACTCCGGCATCGGTGCTTCGCTGCCCAGTGCAAGCGCCTGGCAGACCTCAATACCGGGTACAAAAGGGGCTTTCGCCTGAGCAACGCTGCTTTCGGTTGGGGTAAGTCTGGAATTCGTAGTTGGTTGATTCTGGCCCTAGCCTGTAGGTCCTACAATCGGAGTCGAACTGATTTGACAGGTTTGACCCTAGGCTTCCTAGGCTCTCTGGCGCCAATGCGAGCTGCTCGTGCAATATTCAGTTCTACATGGCAAACGGAAAGTCCTCGCAGATATGATCTTGTGACCTTCCTGCCCCCACTAGGCTCACACACGCATAGGCGCACACAGACAGACACAGGCACGCAAACACACAGACACAGAATCTCTTCACAACCTCGGGTGTCACAGCCTTTTACGCGGAGCTTATGCAACAGTCGGCTCGGCGCGCCATCCTTGGGAGCCTCTGGAAAGGGGTTGGACGTGGCAACAGGGGTCGTAAGCATACATAGCACGAAGGAACGGCCTCACAGACAGCATCCCAAAATACCCCTGAGGGCCCCCAAGGGTATACAATGTCGGAGGCTTTAAGAGCCCTAAACCTGTAACCCCTAAAGTCTGAACCCTAAACCCAAGCAACCTAACCCCTAAACCATAAATATCTAATCCTGAACACGTAGAGAAGCAGAATCCTAGCCCGTGGAGGAGAGTGATGCCCGGAAGACCTGTGCGGCACCTGGGAGGTGTTGTTCAGGATTTAGGAGGATGGAGGGTTTAGGGGTTCAGGATTAAGGGGGTTTGCGGCTTAGGGATTTAGGGTGTAGGGTTTAGGGTTGGGCATAAGCATAGGGTTTAGGGATTCCCGGATTTAGGGTGTGGGGTTTAGCGATTCGGGTTCAGGGTTTCGGGTGTCACTTTAGGGTGTAGTTGTTTTTCACTAGTTGAGTGTCCATAGCGCATTAAACGGTTTTGAAAGGCGAGCCTGCAAGCTAGGCACAGACGTCGCATTGCATTAGGTTTAGCAGCTTTGCCCGTTGTCTTTGCCGATTAAGGATGATGGCGTGTCACAGCACTGCAGCGTCTGTCAACATATGCGTACGGAGGTTTGCACCATTTCGATGTACTAGAGCATTCTTCTCATTATCAATACCACTGCTATTGTCATAATAGTCCAGTTATTTAAGTGTAGCCCCTGCACAGGCCCGACGCTCAAGACAAGTCCGAAGACCTTCCAAGGTCTCATCGTTGACCCTGCTTGTCCTCGCGACCGTCCTTGTCGGGAGCTGAGTCGTCACCCTAAATCTAAAACCTTAAACCTTCAGGCGGCATCCCCGAAGATCCTCTACAGTATGTTTCTGGCAAGTTTCTCAGCATGGCGGCCGCACCCCCGATCAGGCAATCATGGTAATCATAAGCTCTAAACCCAATTAGGAATTAGTGCTTAGGGTCGGGCTTCTCGTTAGGAATTCGGGTTCAGGCTTCGGGTTCTGCTTCTCGCAGTACGGCAGTGCGGCTTATCTCCATATAAATCCGGTAACCATACTTATGACTACTTATAACCCCACTTAAGGTATTCATAACCTTACTTACTAAGTCTGATGATCCTCTAGTAGTAGTAGTAGTAGTAGTAGTAGTAGTAGTAGTAGTAGTAGTAGTAGTAGTAGTAGTAGTAGTAGTAGTAGTAGTAGTAGTAGTAGTAGTAGTAGTAGTAGTAGTAGTAGTAGTAGTAGTAGTAGTAGTAGTAGTAGTAGTAGTAGTAGTAGTAGTAGTAGTAGTAGTAGTAGTAGTAGTAGTAGTAGTAGTAGTAGTAGTAGTAGTAGTAGTAGTAGTAGTAGTAGTAGTAGTAGTAGTAGTAGAGTAAGCAACATTTCACCTCATCAGGGGACTCCAATCCCACGTAATCCAAAAGGTTGGCTTATAGTTCCCCTAGGTTCTGGACAAGAAGGGGTGTGATTGCTAGCGATCGAATCATAGGTCTTGCATAGGTCTTTCATACTTCATACCTCACGCATCTGCAGATAAGTTGAGAAGTGCGTGTGTTGATAGATACTAGATAACCAAGTAGATCGGGACCGATAGATCGATCTATAGATCGACGACAGATCGATCGACAGATCGACGACAGATCGACGATAGATCGATAGAAAGACAGATAGATTTGTTGCCGGTAGGTAGGTAGACCCGGTCGTTTTTGTAGATAGATAGTTAGATAGGTAGACAGGTACATAAGTAGATTGTTAGGTAGATATACAAACAGACAGGCAGCTAGATACATGGATTGGTGGATGGATGCATGGATGGATAGACAGATAGATCGACAGACTAGATCAATAGCTAGTTCAATGGACAGGTGGGGGGATAGAGACAGAGAGAGAGAGAGAGGGAGAGAGACAGATAGACAGATAGACAGATAGACGGATAGACGGATAGACAGATAGACAGATAGACAGATAGACAGATAGACAGATAGACAGATAGACAGGTAGACAGGTAGACAGGTAGACAGATAGAGCGGTAGATAGATAGATAGGTAGACAGATAGAAGGAGAGACAGATGGCTAGATAACTAGATAGAGATGTACACAGGTAGATAGGTAGATTGGTGGATAGGTGGATGGACGGCCGGGATAGGTGGAGTATTCATGCATGCAGATCGTGCTGGTAGATATCTAGGAGGCGTTGGACCATACTTCCATGCAGTGCTGATCGTGATGCTGTTCATCCGTAGCTAAACCCTTAACCCTACGGTTTAGGGGTTAGGGGTTTAGGGGTTTAGGGTTCCAAAGCCTAAACCCTCGGCTCTGAGCCCAGGGTTGACAGGTTTAACCTTCTGATTCGGGTTGGAGGCATGAGCCGCAAACTTACCTTTGGTTAGTAGGGAATGGAAGAATGGGGTACAATTAGCTACTATTACTACCATGCTTCCATTCCCTACTAACCAAAGGTAAGCAAAGCCTAAACCTATGTAGGCCCCATGGGCACGAAACCCTAACCCTTAGGCTTTAAGGACTCATATTTTATAGGCTTTTGGGCCAACTATATAAGGCTTTTGGGCTATTTTGAGCCTTAGGGTAAGAGTCTAAACTCTAAGCTCTCTGGGCTGAGAACGCAACATACGAGGCACAATAGCTAGGGCCACACGTTCGTGTGACTTCAATACACAATCTACTGCTTGACGTCTTTATAGGCGGGATCCCCTATAGAACCTGTATATCATTGTTACTACCGGCATAATTATGGCTATTGCTATGACTCTTCTTTCTTACTTATTACTGTTCATATCATCATGCTTATTATAGAAGCCCTGTCCCTGGGCACCTAAGGACTCATATATTATAAGGCTTTTGGGGCTATTTTGATGCCCAGGGTGTAGAACCTCCGTGA